AGGACGCCCATCCCTTGAATACCATCTGAGTAACACACGGGACTTTGAGTTACCTTCCGATCTCTCCTCCTTCTTTTAGAGATTGCGCATGTTCCTTTAGTGACTCTTGAAGAGCCTTTCCCTGTGGGGACACGTGGTCCCCACAAAGACCCCTGGGGAGGTGATGGTCACAGGTGGACACCTGTTATCATGGAGTGTATCTTCCTGCCAAAGTCGAACTCCCCAGTATGGCAACCGTCCCACCACCAGAACCACTGCCCACTGTCATTCCAGTCCTCTGGCCACAGGCTGGACAGTTGGGGGTCTAACTGCCTTGTCCCTGGTGTTTCGTGCGCTGGCCTCACCAGGCGCCCAGGCCCTATCCACACTACACCCGCTTTCTTCCCCTCTCTGCCTCTGCTGGGTTTCCCCACAGCTCCCGCTGCCTCCTGGCCTCTGACAATTCATCTCCCACTCACCTTAGTTCACCTCATCTCCTCGGCTGCACCCCCAGTCCCTTTCACGACCTGTACCTGCATATCTGGCACCTTCCCGGGACAACCTACAGCTCCTCTGTCAAGTTCAAAGGCTCAAAATAAGCCAGGCTAGCTCACACCAGCCTTCCCTTCTCCTCAGTGTCACCTCATCACCAGCTCCCAGCTCACGATCACCAGCTCCCAGCTCCCGACCCCCAGGCGACTTCTCTGAGCAACACTGCAGGAACGTCCCACTTGTGTTTCCACCCCAGGACCGCGCTGAGGGCAGAGCAGGTGCTCAGGGATGTTTGTCTAAACAGTGAATTTCCCCACGTCTTCTCAGCAGATGTCTGTCCTGTCTTTGAACCACTAGAGTGCTGACTGTCTACAATGCTCAGCCTCAGACCCATTTCCACACCCTCAGGGCTCCCCCTCTTTCAAGACAGTTCCGTTTCTGGCCCCTCCTCTGGCCCAGTGATGAAGGACTGACGTCCAATTTGCAGTTGGTCTCAGTATGCGCACGATGCAGCCGGTCCACTTACACCCAACGTGGGTCATTCTGCATTTCCTCCTTGCTTTGTATACATGTGTCACTTTGTGCATGTTTACTGCCTCCTTGGAGAGCTTGGACCCGGAAGCCCTGGGAAAGGGGATAGCTTTCCTGATGGAGACAGGAGCTGACGCTCCCTGGCCGGAGCTCTCGGCGGGGGGAGCCTTGGGGAGGGAGGGGCTGCTCCCTCTGCCCACAGAAGGCTTTTGTTGTCACCCACTGCCCCAGGGAGTCTGTCTTATTTGAATCCCAGACGCCTGGGTACCCTGGTCCCCAAAGACCACAGACACACTGGACTCACGTGTCCTGCTGTCAGATCTATTACAGTCAATGAGCCTCAGCTGCATCCCAGAGCCACATTCACCCAGCCTCCCACTCACTTCTCAGTGGCACCTGGAGGAGAGGTGGCTTCATCTCGTGTCAGCTCTCCCAGCGTGAAGAGATGTACGCTCACCAGCGAAATGAACATGGCTACCACCCTTCCTCCCTTTCCCTAAAGGCGCATTCAACACGCACGGTGCAGGGTTCAGTACTTCACTCCGACAGCCCCCATCAAAACATCCGACACTGGTCCAACCTCAAAGTCACTGAATCAGGTGGGAAAACGATGCTGGATCTCAGGGTTAAACTCTCTCGCTCCTCGGCCTGACAACAGGTGCCAAACAGAGCTGAGATGAATATGAGTTTATTTTTGGCGACTCCTGACGGAATCCATGCACGCTGTGTATTTTGCATCACCTGAATCCTTGGGCACACTCAGAACTCCGGAGCAAACAGGCGTCTGCAAATGTTACAGCTGCCAGGGTTGGCCGGGTGCTCTAGAGGGTGACTCTCACAAGACCGCGGGGCAAAGGGGAGGAATGATCTGAGCTGCGTGC